TTCAGGGTGGGTGAAAACGGAGTTGGGTGCTGTGGAATCAGTGAGGGTAACCAGAAGGGGTCTTGAGATAATTGTTTGTGTTTCTGCTGATCAGAGGGAGCGGGCACTCCGCGTTAAACGAATGGGGGCAAGAGATGTGAATTGTTTTGATCTCAAGAAAACGGCGCCATTGAAAGGGGTAATGGTAAATGTGAAAGCTGACCAACTGAAGGGGAAGAATCCCTGTGTTTGTGGTGCTTGTCATTTGGTTCAAAGCAGACAGGGTGGCGTGAGTGGTGAAACAAAAGTCGTTGTCTGTTCTTTTGAGTTTTGACGTTGAGTCTTTCCCCAACAAAGTGATGTTAGGATATATAAGTTATCCTGTACGAGCTTTTGTGCCGAATAAATTAAAATGTTACAGGTGTCAAGCTTATGGGCATGTGGCAGCAGTGTGTAAGAGGGAGGTTCCTAGGTTTGAGAAGTGTGCAGAAGGGCATGAGACAAAGGAATGTGTAGCATTGGCGAAAGTAGTGGTATGTTTTAATTGTAGGGGTGCCCATGGGGCTGGGGATCCGAAATGTCCCGTGCAAGAGAGGCAGGTTGAGGTTTCCAGGGTTAGAGTAGTGCAGAAGTTGTCATATGCTGAGGCAGTGAAGAAAGTAGAGGAAGATGGGTCAAGGGAAGGGATCCTGAGAGCAGTGGTGTGAGTAGAAGATCTGTACCAGTACAGAGGGATAAACCAACAAGTGATATATGTTTCAGTAAGATTGGCTTTTTAGCATTTATAGCAATGGTTATCAACTGTACTGCAGGGATGGAACGTAAGTCGCAACAAATTGAGGTTGTGGTGGCAGCTGCAGAGAGGTATTTGGGTGTGCGAGACTTGACGTCAGAAGAGTTACAGGGTGTGTTAAGTGGTGGTGTCCCATCCTTTCAGGCTGTTGGCCTGAAGTAGGACTAAATAGATTTAAATAGTGGAGTATGGTATTTATTTTTATTTTATGTTTTTGTGAGTATAGTGTTAGATGGTAGGGTATTATTATTATACATTTTTTAAAGTATAAGGGAGTTATACACAGTTATAATTTAGTTAATACTAAATTGTAATTATTTTGCACTATGGCCTATTTATTGCCTTACCTCCATAACTTACTACATTTGCACACACTGTACAGTGAGGGAAAAAGTATTTGATCCCCTGCTGATTTTGTACGTTTGTCCACTGACAAAGAAATGATCAGTCTATAATTTTAATGGTAGGTTCATTTGAACAGTGAGAGACAGAATAACAACAAAGAAATCCAGAAAAACGCATGTAAAAAATGTTATAAATTGATTTGTATTTTAATGAGGGAAATAAGTATTTGACCCCCTCTCAATCAGAAAGATTTCTAGCTCCCAGGTGTCTTTTATACAGGTAACGAGCTGAGATTAGGAGCACACTCTTAAAGGGAGTGCTCCTAATCCCAGTTTGCTACCTGTATAAAAGACACCTGTCCACAGAAGCAATCAATCAATCAGATTCCAAACTCTCCACCATGGCCAAGACCAAAGAGCTCTCCAAGGATGTCAGGGACAAGATTGTAGACCTACACAAGGCTGGAATGGGCTACAAGACCATCGCCAAGCAGCTTGGTGAGAAGGTGACAACAGTTGGTGCGATTATTCACAAATGGAAGAAACACAAAAGAACTGTCAATCTCCCTTGGCCTGGGGCTCCATGCAAGATCTCACCTCGTGGAGTTGCAATGATCATGAGAACGGTGAGGAATCAGCCCAGAACTACACGGAAGGATCTTGTCAATGATCTCAAGGCAGCTGGGACCATAGTCACCAAGAAAACAATTGGTAACACACTACGCCGCGAAGGACTGAAACCCTGCAGTGCCCGCAAGGTCCCCCTGCTCAAGAAAGCACATATACAGGGCCGTCTGAAGTTTGCCAATGAACATCTGAATGATTCAGAGGAGAACTGGGTGAAAGTGTTGTGGTCAGATGAGACCAAAATCGTGCTCTTTGGCATCAACTCAACTCGCCGCGTTTGGAGGAGGAGGAATGCTGCCTATGACTCCAAGAACACCATCCTCACTGTCAAACATGGAGGTGGAAACGTTATGCTTTGGGGGTGTTTTTCTGCTAAGGGGACAGGACAACTTCACCGCATCAAAGGGACGATGGACGGGGCCATGTACCGTCAAATCTTGGGTGAGAACCTCCTTTCCTCAGCCAGGGTATTGAAAATGGGTCATTGATGGGTATTCCAGCATGACAATGAGGCGGTGACCCGATCCTGCAGGTTCACGCTCTACAACATTCGGAGAGTACGACCCTGCCTTACACAGGAAGCGGCACAGGTCCTAATCCAGGCACTTGTCATCTCCCGTCTGGATTACTGCAACTCGCTGTTGGCTGGTCTCCCTGCCTGTGCCATTAAACCCCTACAACTCATCCAGAATGCCGCAGCCCGTCTGGTGTTCAACCTTCCCAAGTTCTCTCACGTCACCCCGCTCCTCCGCACACTCCACTGGCTTCCAGTTGAAGCTCGCATCTGTTACAAGACCATGGTGCTTGCCTATGGAGCTGTGAGGGGATCGGCACCTCTGGTAAATGTCTGCTAAATGACGTAAATGTAAATGTAAATGTAATGACCCAAAACACACGGCCAAGGCAACAAAGGAGTGGCTCAAGAAGAAGCACATTAAGGTCCTGGAGTGGCCTAGCCAGTCTCCAGACTTTAATCCCATATAAAATCTGTGGAGGGAGCTGAAGGTTTGAGTTGTCAAACGTCAGCCTCGAAACCTTAATGACTTGGAGAAGATCTGCAAAGAGGAGTGGAACAAAATCCCTCCTGAGATGTGTGCAAACCTGGTGGCCAACTACAAGAAACGTCTGACCTCTGTGATTGCCAACAAGGGTTTTTCCACCAAGTACTAAGTCATGTTTTGCAGAGGGGTCAAATACTTATTTCCCTCATTAAAATGCAAATAAATTAATAACATTTTTGACATGCGTTTTTCTGGATTATTTTGTTGTTATTCTGTCTCTCACTGTTCAAATAAACCTACAATTAAAATTATAGACTGATCATGTCTTTGTCAGTGGGCAAACGTACAAAATCAGCAGGGGATCAAATACTTTTTTCCATTACATTTACGTCATTTAGCAGACGCTCTTATCCAGAGCGACTTACAGTTAGTGAATAGATTTTTTTTTTATATACTGGCCCCCCGTGGGAATCAAACTCACAACCCTGGCGTTGCAAACGCCATGCTCTATCAACTGAGCTACATCCCTGCCGGCCATTCCCTCCCCTACCCTGGACGACGCTGGGCCAATTGTGCGCCGCCCATGAGTCTCCCGGTCGCGGCCGGCTGCGATAGAGCCTGGATTCGAACCAGGATCTCTAGTGGCACAGTTAGCACTGCGATGCAGTGCCTTAGACCACTGCCCCCCTCACTGTATATAGATTTTCTATTGTGTTATTGACTGTACGTTTTGTTTATTCCATATGTAACTCTGTGTTGTTGTTGTTTTTAATCGCACTGCTTTGCTTTATCTTGGCCAGGTCGCAGTAAATGAGAACTTGTTCTCAACTGGCTTACCTGGTTAAATAAAGGTGAAATAAAAAATAAAAAAAAATACTCCAGTCTAGTAGGTGGCGGTAATGCAACATGTATTGGATGCCAACCGCCGTTAAACCTCATCGAAGAAGAAAATGATTGAAGCCTGGTGGCGGGGACTTTCCAGCCTTCGAAATGACAGTGAGGGAGGGGAAATATATGGCGTAAGCGGACGATGAAGTTGATTCTGAATCTAATGGCGGTAGAATCAAGGAGAATTGGAATAGTGAAGAGAATGTCCCTTCGTATCTAGTAGGAGTACGGTTTGTTAATGAGGAGCAGCTGAGCAGATTACCAATCTTGAAGAAACCATTTGAGATATCCAAACTGGTGTAGAGAGTGCTGGGTAAAGTGAAGGCTGTGAGGATCACGAGAGGCGGGCATGTTTAGATTTTTTGGGCTTCTGCAGATCAGAAGGAACATGCGTTGTGTCTCACCTGATTTGATAAGTTTGAAGTGTCGAGTGTGTCTCTTCGGGGGTTATATCTGGCACCTCGTGGGAAGTCGAATTTGAAGAGATTAAAATTATTCCTGGAGTGATTGATTGCACGTCGGATGAATCGTGTGGTGAATGGTGAAAAAGTGAAGTTATCTGTTCTTTTGATATGGAGTCTCTCCCTACTCAAGTGCAGTTGGGGTATATAAACTACAGAGTCAGAGCATTTATCCCAAGACCAATGCAGTGTGATCATTGTAAAGCTTTTGGTCATGTTTCAAGTGTTTGCAGAAGCGAGAAGCTGAGATGTCCAAGTTGTGGAAAAGATAATGTCATGTGTTTTAAAGTGCTGAAAATGTGACATGTTGCAATTGTGGTGGGAACCATGAAGCTACGTCTTTCGATTGCCCGACAAGGGTGGCCAAAGTCAGGGCTGTCGAGAGCATTTCATATGCAGCAGCTGTTAAAAGGGTTGAGGGTTTGAATAGTGCTCCTGAAGAGTCCATGGTGGTGGATAGGCCTTCACTGCAGGCTACAGGGGTTGTCTTTCACCAGCAGGACCCTGACATTTTAAAGGTTAAGAAGGTGGACTTTGTGGCCTTTATAGCTATAGTGATTAAATGTCACTGCCAAGGTGGAGAGAAGGTCCAGGAAGATAGATATCATTGTGGATGCGGCGGAGCGGTTCCTGGGACTGAAATATTTATCTGCGGAGAAGTTACATGGAATATTGTCACAAGCCGTATCACCCTCTCGGCCCTAGAGCCTGAGAAGGGAGATATGGAGATTTGAAAGAAGGAAGAAGTGGGGGTTTTGTTTTTGTCAATGTACTATTTTTATTTGGGTGGATTAAGTTAGTTTCCCTATCACGAATGGATTTTCTTTTGACCTTGTTTTGTTTTTTCAACCCGTCCTGTTGGTGGCGGCAAACACCTTTTTGGGTTGTAGTCCGCCATAAAATCCACAGAAGAAGAAGAAGTAGAAAAAGAAGAAGGGCTAGCAACGAAAGTATGGCTGCGATCGGATTGTTACACCAAATATAATGCCTTTGACGTTAAAGGCAATGTAGTTGAACCATTTACCTTTTCATGGTAACCCACGAAGTTTGACACTGGCAAGGATAGTTTGTGTCAAACGCACATTTTCAAGGTAAGAAGTAGATGTGAGATGCTACACTGCCCATGAAACTAATTTAAACAGTTAGCCGCAGCACTACAAACCCATGACACGATTAGACAGGTTGGTATACGGATAAGATTTACTTGGGTCCCAGTGCATGTGGGGGTGGAGGGGAACGAGGCAGTCGATGTACTGGCTAAACAAGCACTTAGTAGCGGGGATGTTGTTGTAATTTCAATGAGCAAGGCAAAAAGCCTGATATGGACAGTCATGATGCAGAGATGGCAGGAGCAGTGGAATAGAGATACTAATAGGATACAGCAAATTAGTTTAGAATATATTGAGTAGAACGTCATTAGATATAGTCTCAAATATGTTATCTTTTTTAAGAGCAACTGGGCTGGCAGGTAGGATTTAGTTTCTCCCTGTCTCTGGCCCACACTCCGGTACAGTATGTGTCGGTAATGTAATGCACCATAACGTTGGATGCCAACCCTCCGATAAACCCTATTGAAGAAGAAGATGCAACGGATGGTTTAGTTATACAAATCTTTGGCAACACTGCCAGAAGCAGAGACTGATCTGAGGGGAACTAGCTAGCTACCATTCTAGCTAATTTAGGCTATTTCCCAAAAAAGTAAATAGCTATGAAAACTCTGTGGTAACGTTATTTAATTGATCACAATCGAGACTGTCACCAAATAATCAAATTGGTAATGTACCTTAGCTAGCTAGTTAACTAGTTGTGCTGTTTACTGTTTCAAGTAGCTAACGTTACTCTAGCTAGCTAGCAGAGCGGCCTTTGCTTTGGCTTCCGTCAATGTAAACTTTGTTCCCCATGGAATTTACTTTATTCAGCTAGTCTCTCAATGTAACGTTGGCTACTTGCCAGTTTCTGAAACCTGCATCCGTAATCCTGTTCCGTGTTCTCTTTTGCTCCGCCTGTGCAGCTGGCTATGGCACTGTAACTAGCTATATAGTTAGCTACGGAGTTAACAATAGCATGTGGCTAACTAAACTATCATTGTAACCTAACTGTTACCTTTTAAGCGCCAATCTATGATTTCCAACAATAACAAAGTGAGTCCCCGCCACAGTTTTAGAAATCGGTTGAGGGATGGAGAAATGTAATTACGCTCAAATTCATATACAAAGTTATGGATGCAAGGACTTAGCAGTCATGATATCAACATTAAAGTTTTAACCTCGTTTTGAGGCTATGAAGTTTGTAAACAAAGTAAATGTAAACAAACGTTGGAGTAAAACATGCTTATATTTTGGGTTCTGATGGGATACGACAGTTAAACTAAGCTCATGAGGCATTTATAATTTATATTCTTCAAGAGTAAATGGATACATTGATAAGTCCAAAAATGGATGTAGTAACAGATTGCCCCTTTAACGTTATGTAGCTAATGTATTATCATTTACATAATAGCTAACTAGTCTCATCACTAACGTTAGATTTTCTATCTAATTTAGCTTGTGTTAACTAGATGTCAAAGAATGTACATTTAGGTAGCTAGCAAAGTTAGCATTTTTGTTGTCACCGTTTGTTGCTCCAGGCAGCATTGCCTGCACTACACACATTTACTTGCATTTAAAACCATTGGCTACGCTAGTGTCTGATAACACTGAAGTCAAGAGTGAAATCATTTGTGAACATCTCAGGCAGTTGGGTTATCCTGCCTATTGAATGCAATTCATTTTCAGCCCCCCCACCCCATAGGTCGTGAGATGGAGGTGATGGAGGTGGACTTGCAGCTGGGGGGCCCCAGTAGGGAACCAGAGCCAGATGATGTGGCAGACCAGGTACATCTCCCTATCGTCATCCCTGACTCTGGCAGTGAAACAGAGGTAGAGGATGAGGCAGACGCAGCTCCCCGTGACCCACCACGGCTCCCGAACACCTGGGCGTTCAGTCAGAACAGAGTCAGAGTGGAGGGTCAAGTTGGACCCAGGATCAGAATGGAGGGTCATATTGGGCGCAGGGTCACCACAGCAGCCACCCAGAGGCAGCGGAGAGCCAGGTAGTTATGGTTGGACTGGATTCACTCTAAACTGTATATCCATACTGGAGACATAATTGTATGCTTCATTGAGTACCTATTTCACCCCATGTTATACTCATTGATTGTACCTGTATTGTCTCTGTGTGGTTAAAGGCCAGGCGTCAGGGTGCACTACTCCACCCAGACCGCTGCTCGTGCTAGCAGCTTCCTGGATTTCCTGCTGCGAGTCCCTGCAGCCAACCAAGCCGAGGGCGACTCTGGGAGTACGACGGAGGTGAGCGAGTCAGAGGATGAGGCAGAGGCCCCAGGGCTAGCAGCAGACCCTCCCAACCCTGCCGTTCCCTCCAGCCCTCGTCCAAACCCTCCAGTTACAGTCACGCCACCCCAAGGCCTTTATTCTTCAGGTAAACCAAGCTTAAGTCTGATCCATGCATAGCCATTTTCCACTGTCACCTATAAAAAGTTGAATCTCACCATGCCTATCCTGTGTATAGATTCTAATGCAACCACAGAGGCTGCGAGAACAGAAACTGGAAATCAAGTGAATCCTGAGGTAAGACCACATTCATTGCCAGTGATAGGCCTACACTCTTGGATGGGCTTAATATTTACATGATTAGCTCATTAGTGCAGTTTCTCTAGTAGCATTGTGTGCCATTGTATTTCTTCCCATGCACTGTCAGAAATGTCATGCATCATCTCTCTGTCCCCTCTAGGGCGTATCAGCCCCACTAGCCTCCAGTGCTCCGGCCCTTCGATCATCCCAGGGGGATGAGGCAGAGGGGGAAGGGGAGACCTGCTCCATCTGCTTTGAGCCCTGGACCACGTCAGGGGAGCATCGCCTGGCCACCCTGCGCTGCGGACATCTCTTTGGCTACACCTGCATCGACCGCTGGGTGAAGGGCCAAGGCCATGGAGCCAAGTGTCCCCAGGTCATTGTCTTCATGTCTGTCTGTCAGCCTTGGTATGTCTGGGGGGAGAGGACTGGAATTGCTCCTGGTTCCATTATGAACAGGAAAATTACAAAAGCATTTGCAGTGAAAGAAAGGAAAATGTATTCCATCGTAAGTAGAAAAAACGAGCTCCTACTTCCACTGTAGTGACTGGCACCAGGTGGAATCTGTGCTGAAGGCGCAGTTTCCTCAAGCATTCAAAAATGCCCTCTGAATTACTTACATCTGAGAAAATACTGCCATAAAATATGACCCCAAAAAACAATTGACTTAATATGCAGTGATGTGAAGGCGTCCCATCAGACTCCATCTGGCTCTTGTAATGATGATTTGCTGTATGTCTGCAGTGCAACAAGAAGGCCAAGCGCTCCGATATCGTCCTACTGTACGCGCGCAAGCTGAGGGCTCTGGACAACACCGAGCAGGAGAGTATGAAGAGGTAAAGTAGCTGCTTTAGTTTGTCTTCTGATCTGCTGATATTGGCATTGATTTGGCCTGATTCACTTCTGTAGGGAGGGAGCTGTTGAGAGTGAGTCTGTCTGTCTGTTTGAATGTGTTGTTGTCTGCAGGTCACTGGAGCAAGAGCATTCACTGCGTAGGAAGGCTGAACTGGAGTCAGCGCAGTGCCGGCTCCAACTGCAGGTGATGACCGACGAATGTGGGAAACTGCTCAAGCAGCTACAGGTACTTTATTCCCATTGCTTTACCAGTCATCCCCCAGTCTCCCATCCATTTATCAGGTGGACTAGAATACCGAGCTGTAATCATTGAGATTGATCAACCCCCAAATCCACTATGATGACTGTATCCTGATTTTCAATGTTTTGCTGATCACATACTGTATCTGGTATGCTTGACTTGACTTCCATTGGTATTGAACAGTGCTGGTGGGTCACTTTTTCTTCCTTCCACCTCTGTCAGGAGCTGAAGACGCTGATGGCCCAGCCTGGCTGTGGGCCCTCTCAGAGCTCAGGGGCCTCTCTCTCTGGGCACTCTCGGAGACAAGACAGCACCCAGGGGGGCCACTACGTCTTCTCCAAGGCCGTGCTGGTGTCCCAGGCGGGGGGCTGCAGGGTGCTGTCCTACTGTGAACCCCTCAGCTGCCTGCTGGCCTCTCAGCCCTCCCCACACACCCCCCTGGTGCCCGGTAAGACCTTTGATAAGCTTTGATGCGCTTTCAGTACGAAATAGCTGTGAACGTTTGTTTTTTGGACAGATTTCATAATGTGAAAATATCAAAGGGAAATATTTGCTACCTCTTGGAATAATTTCTCTCCCTCTGCGCCCCCCCCCCCCCCACCTGCCAGGCTGCGGGGTGAAGAAGGTGAGCACGATGAATCTGAAGGCCTGCCAGTACATTCCTATCCATGTCAAACAGATCAGAGGCCTGGCCTTCAACAGACAGGCCGACAGCCTCCTGCTCTCTGCTGCCCTGGACAACACCATCAAACTCACCAGGTAACCAGATAGTCAGTCTGTGTCCAAACAGAGAGAGATTCAGGACCGTGTGTTCCAGAATGGTGTTGACTTCATAGCCTTAGGCTCTGATGGAGAAGAACATTGATCTTTGCTAAGTTGCAAGAACCATTCAGACCTAGATTGAAAACAAAACCCTTGATGGTTATTTAGGACAGTATTTTACCTTCTAAATCTAATATCCTAACTACCATTATTCTCCTGCAGTCTAATGACCAACACGGTGGTGCAGACCTACAACACAGGGAAACCAGTGTGGAGCTGCTGCTGGTGCCTGGACAATAACAACTATGTGTACGCTGGTCTCAGTAACGGCTCTGTGCTGGTGTATGACACCAGGGACACCAGCACGCACGTCCAGGAGCTACAGCCGTTACGTTCCAGGTCAGTCTGACAGCCAGGCAGGGGGCGAAGATCAGCTAGTCTGTATTTGCCACCACAGCTTGAACTACACCTGTCAATATATCCTAGCTAGTTTGACCTTCACCACAGGATCTGACCAGGTTCTGGGCTTAGATTTTGTATTTTATTTCTAGCAGTTGAGTTTTGCTACTCATTCTCAAAGATAGTGGAATTAATATTAATTTATACGGTGTGTGTGTAAAATGTAATTCACATAGTGTAATATATTATAATACAGTGCCTAAGGAAAGTATTCAGACACATTTTGTCACGTTACAGCCTTATTCTAAAATTAATTAAATAAATAAAACATCCTCAGCAATCTACACAAAATACCCCATAATGACAAAGCTAAAGCAGGATTTTAGAAAATTGTGCCAATGTATTAAAAATTAAACAGAAATACCTTATTTACATAAGTATTCAGACCCTTTGCTATGAGACTCGAAATTGAGCTCGGGTGCATCCTGTTTCCATTGATCATCCTTGAGATGTTTCTTCAACTTGATTGGAGTCCACCTGTGGTAAATTCAATTGATTGGACATGATTTGGAAAGGAACACACCTGTCTATATAAGGGCCCACAGTTGACAGTGCATGTCAGAAAAAAAAAAATGCAGTATTGAAGGTCCCCAAGAACACAGTGGCCTCCATCATTCTTAAATGGAAGAAGTTTGGAACCAGTAAAACTCTTCCTAGAGCTGGCCGCCCGGCCAAACTGAGCAATCGGGGGAGAAGGGCCTTGGTCAGGGAGGTGACCAAGAACCAGATGGTAACTCTGACAGAGCTCTAGAGTTTGTCTGTGGAGATGGGAGAACCTACCAGAAGGACAACCATCTCTGCAGCACTCCACCAATCAGGCCTTTATGGTAGAGTGGCCAGACGGAAGATCCTCCTCAGTAAAAGGCACATGACAGCCCGCTTGGAGTTTGCCAAAAGGCACCTAAAGACTCTCAGACCATCAGAAACAAGATTCTCTGGTCTGATGAAACCAAGATTGAACAGTGAAGCATGGGGGTGGCAGCATCATGCGGCAGGGACTGGGAGACTAGTCAGGATCTAGTCAGGAACGGAGCAAAGTACAGAGAGATCCTTAATGAAAACCTGCTCCAGAGCGCTCAGGACCTCAGACTGGGGCGAAGTTTCACCTTCCAACAGGACAACAACCCTAAGCACACAGTCAAGACAACGCAGGAGTGGCTTCGGGACAAGTCTCTGAATGTCCTTGATTGGTCCAGCCAGAGCCCCGGACTTGAACCTCATCAAACATCTCTGGAGACAACTGAAAATAGCTGTGCAGCAACGCTCCCCATCCAACCTGACAGAGCTTGAGGGGAGCTGCCGAGATGAATGGGAGAAACTCCCCAATTACATGTGTGCCAAGCTTGTAATGTCATACTCAAGAAGACTCGAGGCTGTAATCACTGCCAAAGGTGCTTCAACAAAGTACTGTGTAAAGGGTCTGAATACTTATGTAAATGTATTATTTCCGTTTTTATTAATTTTTTATAAGTTAGTAAAAATGTCAAATCTGTTTTTGCTTTGTCATTATGGGGTATTGTGTGTAGATTGATGAGGGGCAAAAAACAATAATCTGTTTTAGAATAAGGCTGTAACCTAATAAAATGTGGAAAAAGTCAAGGGGTCTGAATACTTTCTGAAGGCACTGTATGTAATACATATTTAGTATGCAGTGTGATTTAAAACCACAGGCACAAACCATGACCTCTGGCTCCTCCCAGGTGTCCCGTGGCATCCCTGTCCTATGTGCCTCGCGCCGCCTCCAGCTCGTTCCCATGTGGTGGCCTCATCTCAGGCTCTCTGGAGGGGGGCTGCTTCTGGGAGCAAGTAGACGGGACCACCTATAGACCCCACATGTTGCCCCTGGAGACGGGATGCTGCACAGACATCCAGGTGCAGCCAGAGAGCAGACACTGTTTGGTCACCTACAGACCAGGTGAGACACTACCATCCTGGGGAGGACTATGAGGGGCAATGAAGGGCCTAAAGTGTGTGTGTGTGTGTGTGTGTATGTACACTACCAGTCAAAGGTTTAGACACACCTACTCATTCAAGGGTTTTTCTTTATTTTTTACATTGTAGAATAAGAGTGAAGACTTCAACTATGAAATAACACATATGGAATCATGTAGTAACCAAAAAATATATTTGAGATTCTTCAAATAGCCACCCTTTGCCTTGACGACAGCTTTGCACACTCTTGGCATTCTCTCAACCAGCTTCATAAGATAGTCACCTGGAATGCATTTCTGTTAACAGGTGTGCCTTCTTAAAAGTTAATTTGTGGAATTTCTTTCCTAAATGCGTTTGAGCCAATCAATTGTGTTGTGACAAGGTAGCGGGGTATACAGAAGATAGCCCTATTTGGTAAAAGACCAAGTCTATATTATGGCAAGAACATCTGAAATAAGCAAAGAGAAACGACAGTCCATCATTACTTTAAGGTCAGTCAATATGGAACATTTCAAGAAATTTGAAAGTTTCTTCCAAGTGCAGTCGCAAAAATCATCAAGCGCTATGATGAAACTGGTTCTCATGAGGACTGCGACAGGAATGGAAGACCCAGAGGTAATTCTGTCCGTTTGTCTGGAGTCCAAATTTGAGATTTTTGGTTCCAACCGCTGTGTCATTGTGAGACGCGGTGTGGGTGAACGGATGATCTCTGCATGTGTGGTTCCCACCGTAAAGCATGGAGGAGGAGGTGTTATGGTGTGGGGGTGCTTTGCTGTGATTTATTTAGAATTCAAGGCATACTTAACCAGCATAGCTACCACAGCATTCTGCAGCGATACACCATCCCATCTGGTTTGGACTTAGTGGGACTATTATTTGTTTTTCAAAAGGACAATGACTCAAAACACACCTCCAGGCTGTGTAAGGGTTATTTGACCAAGAAGGAGAGTGATGGCGTGCTGCATCAGATGACCTGGCCTCCACAATCACCCGACCTCAACCCAATTGAGATGGTTTGGGATGAGTTGGACCGCAGAGTGAAGGAAAAGCAGCCAACATGTGCTCAGCATATGTGGGAACTCCTTCAAGACTGTTGGAAAAGCATTCCTCATGAAGCTGGTTGAGAGAATGCCAAGCGTGTGCAAAGCTGTCATCAAGGCAAAGGGTGGCTAATTTGAGGAATATAAAATATATTTTGATTTGTTTACACAGTTTTGGTTACTACATGATTCCATATGTGTTATTTCATAGTTTTGATGTCTTCACTATTATTCTACAATGTAGAAAATAGTAAAAATAAAGAAAAACCCTTGAATGATTAGGTGTGTAGAAACTTTTGACTGGTACTGTGTATATATGTGTGCCTGTGTGTGTAATAAAATGTATATGCATATCATTTGTGTGCATTGTACTGCTGCCAGGGTCTTTGTTGTCCTGGCTTCTCTCTACTTGCTGCATGATTTATTCTAGGTGTTTTGTTTTAGCTAGTGCTGGGCTGGAACAGAAGCCTGCACTCCCCAGTAGCTCTCCAGGACCAGGGTAGGTGACCACTTGCTCTAGTATTTAGACTGACAGTCTGTGTGTTTGATCCCGTCCAGGGCGCTCCAAACCATCGCTGCGCTGTGTTCTGATGGAGCTGAACAGGACCCCCCAGCAGGACGCGGCTCAGGAGCCCTCGTATTCCTGCAACCCAGTCCAGACATTCAGCGCCGGCTCCTCCTGCAAGCTGCTCACCAAGAATGCCGTGTTCAGAAGCCCGGCCGGGGAGGGCTCCACTCTGGTGTGTGCCGGGGACGAGGCCACCAACTCCACCATGGTGAGCTATTTGTGTGTGTGTGTGTGTGTATGCATGTGATGAACATGTGTTTTTTATTTATTCAGTGAATATGGTAAAGATTTATCATTACCCCAAAAATGTCAACTTTGACTGCATTTACACATTACATTTTACATTTTAGTCATCTAGCAGACGCTCTTATCCAGAGCGACTTACAAATTGTTGCATTCAACTTAGGATAGCCAGTGGGACAACCACCCCTTTTTTTTTCTTTCTTTTTTTTAATGGGAGGTGGTGGGAAAGAAGGATTACTGTTATACTATTCCAGGTATTCCTTAAAGAGGTAGGGTTTCAAGTGTCTCTGGAAGGTGGTCAGTGACTCCGCTGTCCTGGCGTCGTGGGGGAGCTTGTTCCACCATTGGGGTGCCAGAGCAGCGAATAGCTTTGACTGGGCTGAGCGGGAACTGTGCTTCCGTAGAGGTAGGGGGGGCTAGCAGGCCAGAGGTGGATGAACGTAGTGCCCTCGTTTGGGTGTAGGGTCTGACCAGAGCCTGAAGGTAAGGAGGTGCCGTTCCCCTCACAGCTCCGTAAGCAAGCACCATGGTTTTGTAATAGATGCGAGCTTCAACTGGAAGCCAGTGGAGTGTGCGGAGGAGCGGGGTGACATGAGAGAACTTGGGAAGGTTGAACACCAGACGGGCTGCAGCGTTCTGGATAAGTTGTAGGGGTTTAATGGCACAGGCAGGGAGACCAGCCAACAGCGAGTTGCAGTAATCCAGACGGGAGGTGACAAGTGCCTGGATTAGGACCTGTGCCGCTTTCTGTGTAAGGTAGGGTCGTACTCTGCGAATGTTGTAGAGCATGAACCTGCAGGATCGGTTCACCGCTTTGATGTTAGCGGAGAACGACAGGGTGTTGTCCAGGGTCACGCCAAGGTTCTTTGCACTCTGGGAGGAGGACACAATGGAGTTGTCAACCGTGATTGCGAGATCATGGAGCAGGCAGTCCTTCCCCGGGAGGAAGAGCAGCTCCGTCTTGCCGAGGTTCAGCTTCAGGTGGTGATCCGACATCCACACTGATATGTCTGCCAGACATGCAGAGATGCGATACGCCACCTGGTTATCAGAAGGGGGAAAGGAGGAAATTAATTGTGTGTCGTCTGCGTAGCAATGATAGGAGAGACCATGTGAGGATATGACAGAGCCAAGTGACTTGGTGTGTAGAGAGAATAGGAGAGGGCCTAGAACTGAGCCCTGGGGGACACCAGTGGTGAGAGCACGTGGTGCGGAGACAGATTCTCGCCACGCCACCTGGTAGGAGCGACCTGTCAGGATGCAATCCAAGAGTGAGCAGCGCCGGAGATGCCCAACTCTGAGAGGGTGGAGAGGAGGATCTGATGGTTCACAGTATCAAAGGTAGCAGATAGGTCTAGAAGGATAAGAGCAGAGGAGAGAGAGAGAGTTAGCTTTAGCAGTGCGGAGAGCCTCCGTGACACAGAGAAGAGCAGTCTCAGTTGAATGACCAGTCTTGAAACCTGTCTGGTTTGGATCATTCTGAGAGAGATCGCAGGAGAGTTGGCTAGAGACGGCACGCTTAAGAGTTTGAGAGAAAAGAAAGAAGGGATACTGGTCTGTAGTTGTTGACATCCTTAGTCCCAATATCTCTGCCCCAGAATGTCTGATCCTCACAAGGTAAAGTGCTTATTGTTCAGAAGTGTCTCTCTGAGTAGTTAGAGGGAATCTACACTGTCTGGGAATTATTTTGGTTTGCTAATGCCCAAGTTTGACCAATATGATGGAACATACTATATGCTTTATCTGTTTATATGCATGGCATTAAGGATAATAGTTACGCCAAAAGCAACTATAAATGTATTTATGATTTTAAAGTATGATTTAAGTTTGTATTTACTTGCTCAGTAAATTTGGTCTGAATCTGTGACCATCTCTATTTCGCTGCTTGTACGTTTTACCACTTAACAATTACATTACAGTTTCAATATCTCTGGCTCAGAGTCAGAATCTTACGAGGCAAAATTATCCTGGGTCAATGTGGTCTCCCGCAGTGTTCTGAGAAGGGTCTACATCATCTGAGATTGGTCCTAGGTGGTGCTACAGACCACAACTGTAGCTGAACACATCTGAATGTTCATATACTGAACACAAATATAAACGCAACATGCAACAATTTCAAAGATTTTACTGAGTTACAGTTCATATAAGGAACTGTCAGTTGAAATAAATTAATATGCATCTGTTGGTCACAGATAATAATAAATAAATAAAAAGTAGGGTCGTGGATCAGAAAACCAGTTACTTTCTGGTGTGATCACCATTTGCCTCACGCAGTGTGACACCTGTCCTTCGGATAGAGTTGATCAGGCTGTTGATTGTGGCCTGTTGTCCCACTCCTCTTCAATTGCTGTGCGAAGTTGTTGGATATTGGCGGGAACTGGAACACGCTGTTGATCCAGTGCATCCCCAAACATGCTCAATGGTGTCATGTCTGGTGAGTATGCAGGCCATAGAAGAACTGGGACATTTTCAGCTTCCAGAAATTGTGTACAGATCCTTGCGACATGGGGCTGTGCATCATCATGCTGAAACATGAGGTGATGGCGGCGGATGAATGGCACGAAAATGGGCCTCGTGATCTTGTCACGGTATCTCTGTGTGTTAAATTTGCCATCGATAAAATGCAATTGTGTTTGTTGTCCATAGCTTGTGCCTGCCCATACCATAACCCCACCGCCACCCTGTGGCACTCTGTACACAACGTTGACATCCGCAAACTGCTCGCCCACACGACGCCATACACGTGGTCTGCGGTTGTGAGGCTGGTTGGACGTACTGCCAAATTCTCTAAAACGACGGAGGCGGGTTATGGTAGAGAGATGAACATTACATTCTCTGGCAACAGCTCTGGTGGACATTCCTGCAGTCAGCATGTCAATTGCACTCTCCTTCAAAACTTGAGACATCTGTGGTATTGTGTTGTGACAAAACTGCACATTTTGAGTGGCCTGTTGTCCCCAGCACAAGGTACGTGCACCTGTGTAATGATCATGATGTTTAATTCGCTTCTTGATATGTCAGGTGGATGGATTATCTTGGCAAAGGAGAAATGCTCACTAACAGAGATGTAAACAAATTTGTGCACCAAATTTGAGAGGAATACGCTTTTTGTGTTTCGAAAATGTCAGCTATTTTTTATTTCAGCTCATGAAACATAGGACTACATGGCCAAAAGTATGTGCTCTTCGAAAATCTCAATCCAAAATCATGGGCATTAATATGCAGTTGGTCCCCCCTTTGTTGCTATAACTGCCTCCACTCTTCTGGGAAGGCTTTCCACTAGATGTTGGAACATTGCTGTGGGGACTTGCTTCCATTCAGCCACAAGCATTAGTGAGGTCAGGCACTGATGTTGAGCGATTAGGCCTGGCTCACGGTCGGCGTTCCAATTCATCCCAAAGGTGTTCTTTGTGCAGGCCAGTCAAATTCTTCCACACCGATCTCGTCAAACCATTCTGTATGGACCTCGCTTTGTGCACGGGGGCATTGTAATGCTGAAACAGGAAAGGGCCTTCCCCAAACTGTTGCCACAAAGTTGCAATCACAGAATCGTCTAGAATGTCATTGTATGCTGTAGCATTAAGATTTCCCTTCACTGGAACTAAGGGGACTAGCCCGAACCATGAAAAACGGCCCCAGACCATTATTCCTCCTCCACCAAACTCCACAATTGGCACTATGCATTCGGGTAGGTAGCATTCTCCTGGCATCTACCAAACCCAGATTCGTCCGTCAGACTGCCAGATGGTGACGCGTGATTCATCACTCCAGAGAACGCTTTTCCACTGTGCCAGAGTCCACTGGCGGCGAGCTTTACACCACTCCAGCCGACGCTTGGCATTGTGCATGGTGATCTTAGGCTTGTGTGCGGCTGCTCGGCCATGGAAACCCATTACAGTAAGCCCCCGACGAACACTTCTTGTGCTGACGTTGTTTCCAGAGGCAGTTTGGAACTTGGTAGTGAGTGTTGCAACTGAGGACAGACTATTTTGACGTGCTACGCGCTTCAGCACTTGGCGGTCCCGTTCTTTGAGCTTGTGTGGCCTACCACTTCGCGTCTGAGCTGTTGTTGCTCCTAGATGCTTCCAATAACAAGACTTACAGTTTGACCGGGGCAGCTTTTAAAAGGGCTGAAATTTGTTGAACTGACTTGTTGGAAAGGTGGCATTCTATGACGGTACCATGTTGAAAGTCACTGAGCTCATCAGGAAGGCCATTCTACTGCCAATGTTTGTCTATGGAGATTGCATAGCAGTGTGCTCGATTTTGTACACCTGTCAGCAACGGGTGTGGCTAAAATAGCCGAATCCTCTAATTTGAAGGCGTCTCTACATACTTTTGTGTATATATAGTGTATTAATGCATTCAGAAGTCTGTGTTTATGTTTGATAATCTACTCAGTTTTAGTTAAGAATTTCAGGATATTTGCCCTAAATCTATTACTATTTCCATTATGCCCATTTTTACCAGATTTGACATTTGACCCCTAGAAAAGCAAAAATGTACGTGACATCCGGCCTTACTTTGTGTATCACTCCATCATTGTTTGATATAACATGGTTGACAGCCTGTAACAAGCAACAACAAAAAAGCAAGCGCTTTTTCCAGGTTGGCTGGTCTATTATTAGGAGTTAGGCTCATTAAAACTTTACTCCACTGCTGAGATTGGGGAAGGATCAATGGTTCAACTGTTTTGTGGTTGAAAGCACTCCATAATAGTGAGAGGCTTGACTCTCTGATTTGAGGCAGTTTGGGGATAGTTTGAATAATATGAAACGGTCTCAAGAGCTTCACATTGATCCTTTGTTTCTAATCATTTCATTTCATTTTTCCAGGTGTGGGATGCTGGGAGTGGATCCCTGATTCAGAAGTTGTCTGCTGACCTCCCTGTGTTGGACATCTGCCCTTTTGAGGTGAACCAGGGCAGTTACTTGGCCTCTCTCACTGAGAAGATGCTCAAAATCTACAAGTGGGAATGAGGAGTTATGGAGGACACCACACACACCACCAGCATAGAACATGTATGAGCAGCGTGCTGCTGCACTGTATAAATGGCATCCATTTAATACAGCCTTTTCTTACCCAAAGTGACTACAGATGAGCCTTTATTGGGTTTGCATTGCAGTGGAGGTACTGGAGAGCCATCACACTGCTGCAGTGTGATGAAGGAACTGATAACTGGAGTGCCTGTTCAGATACACCACTGCCCAAAATGTTTACATTAAGAATCACAGAAAACATCCTATAATTTTTATTTATTTTGCCCTCTCTTTTTTTATGCATGTGACGGTCAATTGGTGTTGTCAGTTATTCATGCTGCCGATGTTTTAATTTTTCAACGTTGTGTTTAATCTCTGATGTTAGAGTCAGATCCATGGATGAAAATCAGGACATCAATAGCTAACAAGTGTTACATTTCCTGGATTCAGATTAGCGCAACTGATCAGCAAGCTGTATAAAAAAAATCATTCTGAATGGGTTTGTTTTTTTGTTTCCTTATTTTAGTTTGAGGAAATTGTATATACATGTATATTTTATACCAAATGTTTGTGTACAATTTGTAATGTAATAAAATATTAATCATTGGTTATTTTTCATCCCGATTTGTGATTGATACTGCAGATGAGGCACAATGTTTAACGTTATTTACATTTTTTAAAAATGTTCACTAAATAAAATGTGTTTACAACCGTGTCTGCATTCTGACTAGAACTATATTTTAGAGATCAGTAATCAATGATTTGGTATTTTCATAGGCGAATTATCCGTATCAGTACAGGGGTTGTCAGGAACAAATGAGAGCCGACAGGAGTCGGATAATGGAAACAAAAGTGCTAGATTTCCCCATAGAGATGGCTAATGAAAATGTATTAGTGGTCTAGATTCCCAACTGTGTTTATTCATTGCAAGTAAAAGGGTGATTGATGGTGATCCATTGTCTTTGAAGTTATTACAGAGAAACAGTAACGAAGCAGACCGTCTCTGTTTTCTCAGTTAGATTTTCAGTCTAGTAAATGTAGATCTATGACTGAGATTGCCAACAACGCACACGCCGACGTATGCACGAAAACGTCCCCTCACTGTAGTCGTAATTTGCAGCTAGCAATCCTAGCTGGCTAGTTATCCGAAGATGGCGGCTTGTAGACGTGTTCCTCTTCTCCTGCTTTTGATGTCTTTCTTTTTGTATGTGCATCCGATTCGAGGACAGAAATCTGCGATTAATGGACTCGCCAAGCCTGCAGTTAGTGTTGATATCCCGGCTCAAAATCAAGGCGGAGCACCGGCTGCTGTAAATGGAGCTCAAGTACTCGCGGCCCTGCCACTTCGTAGACGCACTAGCGGCTGGAAGCTGGCGGAAGAGGGGGCTTGTCGGGAGGACTTGACCAGGCTTTGTCCGAAACATTCCTGGAACAATAACCTGGCTGTGCTTGAGTGCCTCCAGGATAGGAAAGAGGTATGTTGGAGTGTGGGCGATATTGTGGCCCGACTAAAACTTGGGTGTGCCTTGGCTTTACTCAAGCTAGCTGTAACGTTATCCAGTTAACGTTAGCTAGCTAACTACTAGCCGATGCTAACTATTAGCTAGTTGGCTACTTAGCTAACATTAACTATCTCGCTGGTTGGGTTGCAAAAAGAGGATATAGGGTATTGCAATTGATTATTCAATATGTTTTGAGAGCTTCATCATTCGAGGAATATAGCCACTGAAAATAGTGCCACTTTTTTTTACCAGCCATTTAGGACCGTGGTAACGTTAGTAAAGTGAAGTCATCATCAGTTTAGCTAGCTAACTAACTAACTAGGCAGCTACTGTAACGTTAATACCTACAGATGTGCCAAACTAACTATGATGACCTTTATTAAACTAGCAATGGCTAGCTTGAGCCTCTAATGATATGTTGTGAGTCATGACCATTCCTGGTCTAACATTTGCCGTCCTATATTTACTACCTATCAGAGCCAACATTTCCAGCAATGTCCTTTTCAGAGGAAGGATAGGAGGATGTAGGAGGAGATGTGTAGATTCAGTGACATTTTGTAAACTTCCAGCCAATGGTTATGGAAAGGCTTGGGAATGGCCTTTCTCTCCAGTAATATGTGGTGAGGGGCCACCTCTGCCTGGGGCCAGAAAGCTAGACTGATGTGAGACAGTCTATCCTAATCAGGTGTTTGCAGCCTGAGTCTCAAGGCAATGGCCCTGTTAGCTCAAGGGGCTAGTACCTGCAGTGGTCTGAGAGTAATGAGCAGTCACTTTTTGGTTTGTTTTCCTTGATTGTTAGTAATTCTGTAGACATACTCTAGTCTAGAGTCTATCTATTGTAGTTTAGAGCAGGGGTTGGTGTTCATTTAGTTTGGTGAGGAGCTTGTCCTCTGTTTATGACTGGTGGTTCTCTCTTCATTGTATAATGCTGATGATTATTACTTAATTTATTTTCACCAGATTTCAGTGGCATGTTAATTGGGGTGGCTGTCAGTCGTCTTGGCTCAGCTCTTTTGGTGTGGGTAGGTTTAGAGAGGCACACAGCAATTTCCCTGTCTCCAGGCTGCTGCTCACTGCCAGTCTCCATGGTAGTTGTGGTTTTGTTTACTTGGTCCATTCACAGAGTAGGGGGGGAGGCCATGGCAGTGTGGCTTTACTTTCAGGAATCATGGCTTGGTTCGTTTAGTTCTGAAAGTCCTCTAGAGTTCTGTGTTGAAAAAGCTTTTCTGGGGGAATTTGATGGATTTTTGCAATGTCTCTCAGGTTGAAGAGTTTCATTGCTATTTATAGTCTCAATAGAGCTAAACATGCATTGTAAGCTCATAGTTTTGTTAAAAGTATAATCCCAAAAGGATATTATTGGCCCTATAATGCAATAGCTTTTAATTGATCCTGACAACTGCTTTTTTGTTTACAGCAAATAGGCCTAAATGTTGACATCCAGCCTTAATCACTGTAGGAAATGTGGTGTTGACATTTCATTTCACACTGCAGTTTTGTGCAGAGCAAGGTTAATTCCAGGTCGCACAGCAAAATATTTATGTGCATACCAGTATGTGAGTAAAATGTTCATCTGTTGGACTGCCAGATGGTGAAGTGATTAATCACTCCAGAGAACGCGTTTCCACTGCTCCAGAGTCCAATGGCAACGAGCTTTACACCACTCCAGCCGACGCTTGGCATTGCGCATGGTGATCTTAGGCTTGTGTGTGGCTGCTCGGCCATGGAAACCCATTTCATGAAGCTCCCGACGAACAGCTCTTGTGCTGACGTTGCTTCCAGAGGCAGTTTGGAACTCGGTAGTGAGTGTTGCAACCGAGTACAGACCATTTTTACGCGCTTCAGCACTCGGCGGTCCCGTTCTGTGAGCTTGTGTGGCCTAACACTTCGCAGCTGAGCCGTTGTTGCTCCTAGACGTTTCCACTTTACAATAACAGCACTTAAAGTTTGACCGGGGCAGCGCTAGCAGGGCTGACATTTTACAAACTGACTTGTTGAAAAGGTGTCATCCTATGACAATGCCACGTTGAAAGTCACTGAGCTCTTCATTAAGGCCATTCTACTGCCAATATTTGTCTATGTAGATTGCATGGCTGTGTGCTCAATTGTATACACCTGTCAGCAACGGGTGTGGCTGAAATAGCTGAATCCACTAATTTGAAGGGGTGTCCACATACCTTTGTATATATAGTGTAGGTGCATATACACTGAATGTATCAAACATTAGGAACCCCTACCCCCTTTGCCCCCAGAACAGCCTCAATTCGTCTGGGCATGGACTCTACAAGGTGTCGAAAGGGTTCCACAGGGTTGCTGGTCCATGTTGACACCAATGCTTCCCACAGTTGTGTCAAGTTGGCTAGATGTCCTTTAGGTGGTGGACCATTCTTGATACATACGGGAAACTGTTGAGTGTGAAAAACCCAGCAGTGTTGCAGTTTTTGACACAGGCACTTAAATCTTTTGTCTTTCCCATTCACACTCCGAATGGCACACATACACAATCCATGTCTCAAGGCTTAAAAATCTTTCTTTAACCTGTCTCCTCCCCTTCATCTACACTGATTAGAGTGGATTTAACAAGTGACATCAATAAGGGATCATAGCTTTCACCAGGATTCACCTGGTTAGTCTGTCATGGAAAGAGCAGGTTCTTAATGTTTTGTGTACTCAGTGTACGTGCTCCTTGTAACAAAGGTCAGCTTAGCCCTGCCCATGTAATAGAGATTTAAGATCAATAAAGTTGAAGTTCATATTCAGTTTAGAGTGTCACACAATGTTTAGTGTATTTATATACTTCCCCTTTCTGTAATACACAGGACTTCTAGTGTTCTATTTGTGACACTCAAGGTCGTGCGGGTTGATGGTCACTAGTTATATATTAATCTCATATTCATGACCGAGTTGATACGCATCTAGATACTTGGGCTCCGATACGATACAGGAACGATACGTTTTAGTTTGAAACCATTCGGTGTGATTCAGCTTTACTAGGGGAACAAATTGATGCATTTCAATAAGATTTGATGCACTACCATACCCTGTTCAAAGGCACTTGTCTTTTGTCTTGCCAATTCACCATCTGAAGGGCACACACACAATCCATGTCTCAATTGTCTCCAGGCTTAACAATCCTTCTTTATCCTGTCTCTTCCCCTTCATCTACATTGATTGAAGTAGATTTAACAAGTGACATCAATAAGGGATCATAGCGTTCACCTGGAGTCACCTGGCCAGTCTGTCATGGAAAGAGCAGGTGTTCTAAATGTTTTGTACACTCAGTGTGTAGCTATATACCATATTTAGCTGCTATTTATAAACTTTTCAAATAAAGTAACAATGGGGGAAAAAAGTCCAACTTGAGACTACCCTGATCTCCTGAAGTCCTCAATGCTGCATTCGGAAAGTATTCAGACCCCTTGATTTTTTCCACATTTCTTTTACGTTACAGCCTTATTCTAAAGTGGATTAAATTGTTTTTTCCCCCTCATCAATCTACACACAATACCCCATAATGACAAAGCAAAAACGTTTTTTTATTAATGTTTGCAAATATATGAAGAAAAAAAAAAAACATTCCTGAAATATCACATTTACATAAGTATTCAGACCCTTTACTCAGTACTTTGTTGAAGCACCTTTGGCAGAGATTACAGCCTCGAGTCTTCTTGGGTATGACGCTACAAGCTTGGCACACCTCTTTTTTTTGGAGTTTCTCACATTCTTCTCTGCAGATCCTCTCAAGCCTTTTCAGGTTGGATGTGGAGCATCCCTGCACAGATATTTTCAGGTCTCTCCAGAGATGTTTGATCGGGTTCAAGTCCGGCCTCTGGCTGGGCCACTCCCTGACCAAGGCCCTTCTCCCCCGATCGCTCAGTTTGGCCAGGCTGCCAGCTCTAGGAAGAGTCTTGGTGGTTCCAAACTTCTTCCATTTAAGAATGATATGAGGCCACTGTGTTCTTGGGGATCTTCAATGCTGCAGACATTTTTTGGTAGCATTCCCCAGGTTTGTGCCTCGACACAATTCTGTCTTGGCGCTCTACGGTCAATTCCTTTTACCTCATGGCTTGGTTTTTGCTCTGACATGCACTGTCAACTGTGGGACCATATGTAGACAGGTGTGTTCCTTTCCAAATCATTTCCAATCAATTGAATTTACCACAGGTGGACTCCAATCAAGTTGTGGAATCATCTCAAGGATAATCAATGGAAA